AACAAAACAAACAAACAAATAAAACATGCCTCTATTAAAAATAAAAAAAAAAAAAAAGAAAGGATTATACATCATAACCAAGTATTTATTCCAGGAGTGCAAGGATGGTTCAGCATCAGCAAACCGATCAATGTAATATATCACATCAACAAAAGGAAAGATAAAATTTAGATCATCAACCAACAAATGCAGAGAAAGCATTTCTCAGTATTCAATAGTCTTTTATCATAAGACTATTTTATCATAAATCTCTCAAAAAAATAGGGATACAAGTATCATACCTCAACATAATAAGGACTATATATGATAAACCCATAACTAAACTCCCATCACTACTATTTAACATAGTATCAGAAGTCCTAGGTAAAGCAATTAGGCAAGAAAAAGACATAAAAGGAATCTAAATTGCAAAAGAAGAAATGAAACTTTGCAGATGACAAGATCATATAAATAGAAAACCCTAAAGACTCCACTAAAAAATTATTAGAAACAATAAATCAGTACAGTGAAGTGACAGCTACAAAATTAATATACAAAAATCTGTTGCATTCCTTCCTAGAAGAGGAGGAAATCAAGAAAGCAATACCATTTACTATTGCCTTGAAAACAATTAAATACATAAGGATAAACTTAACAAAAAGGTCATTTTCACTGTTATTTTTTCTGTGATTGATTCCTATGTCAACATCACCTCAGTGTCCCTTAGCCTTTGAGTGGAGAAAGGCCTTCCAGTCACCTGTGTCCTGATCAGCTGCAGCAGTTGCTTATTCCTCTGTGTGAAGCCCAACAAATACAGGCAGCTGACAACAACAGGGTAGCTTCCCAACTGATTTTCATCTGATCCCTTTCCTGCACTTTTTCCCATCTTCACTTTCTGAACAAAATCCAACATACAAGAGGCCTGTGGTTTGAAAGGTCGCTGGGTGGTTTGAAATGGTTGGAAATGCTGCTGTTAACTAGTCCTGATCTAAATCACTTTTCGTTGAGACATTCCTCCTCATGGAGTCTAAAGTAGTCTGGAAAGTACTAATATCTAAGCTGTAACGTGTTTATTTTCATTGTCAAATAGTATACAATCCTTGGAAGTGGGTATGATGCACAAAAATAAAACACGCATGTTCATCATGCTTCTTACTTCACTTGTCTTATCATGAAATTGTTGCCAATTTTTGAAAACCTAAAGCAAGAAGATCTTAGAGTGGGGGAGGTGGGGTATATGCATTACCAGAGGGAGTTGAATTACACTATACCTATCATGGAATGTGCATTTGTTGGGGGTGGGGTAAAGGGAAGGAAGCATCCAGAGGTTGCAATAAAAACCCTGGCACCTCTGCTCAGATTCTGCCCTATCGTTTTCTGGGATATCTTGACTTGTGTTTTCACACAATCAGACCCAGGATCCTTATTTACACTGTGCCAGTCTATCCTTCTCCATGTTTTGGCTAAGATCAGGTGTGCACCATGCCAGCCATGCCATCAGATACAGATAATTCTCTTGTGCAATGTGTAACATTTAATCTTGGCCCTACTGCAGCTAGAAATCATTTCCATTTTTTTCTATGTTTTGCCATAAACCAGTTTTGGAGTGATGCAAGAACTGTATGGTTGGGGGGCTGCGGATGCGGGAGATGAAAATGGTGGTAGGGATAGAAATAACTGTGGTCAAATTTTAGGAAACTATTGAACTGAGGTTGGGGCTCAGTTCACACTAAGAAAAGACTCAAGGACTAGCTTCATTTGCAGTTTATAATGAATAAAACTATTGTCAGTATTTGCAAACATGTCTTCATGGGAACAGATGTTTTCATTTATCTTGGGAAACGAATAGTGGATTGCAGGTTTATATGGTAAGTACATGTTTAACTGGTTTGTTTTTGTACCATTGTATATTCTCACTAGCAATGTATGAGTTCTAGTTGTTCCAAATCATCAATAGCACTGAATTTGATTAAAATAAATTAACTGTATGTTTGGGTCTGTGTCTAAATTCTGTTCTATTTTATTGGTCTATCAATATATGACATTCATCATGATATTATGCCAATACCACACTGTTTTGATTACAGTACTTTTATAGTATGGTTTGAAATAAGGTATTGTGAGTTTCCTAACTTTGATCTATTGGAAAATTGTTTTGGCTAGTCTAGGTCCTTCACATTTTTTGTACGAATCCTAGACATAGCTCTTCAATGTAGTAAAAAATATTTCTTGGAATTTTGATTAAAATTGCATTGAATCTATAGATTTATTTGGAGAGAATTGATAGTCTAACAAAATTTGGCCTTCTGATTCATGAAAATGGAATATTTGTTCATCTATTTAAATATTCTTTTTTGAGCAATTTCTTTGAGCAATGTTCCATAGTTTTAAATGTATGGGTCTTGCATATAGTTTAAGTATATGTCATAGTTTTTCATGTTTTGGGGTGTTATTAATAAATTATATTTTTCATTTCAATTTCAGTATTCATTGTTAGTATATAACAATACCATATATTTTCATATATTGAGCTTTAATATTTTGGCCACAATAATCATTTATTTTCAAAAGTCAGATTTTTTTGTGTGGAATTTTTAGGATTTTCTACATATGTGTGTGTGTGTGTGTGTGTGTGTGTGTGTGGTGTGTATGTCATAGGCAAATAATTTTACTTCCTAATTTCCTCACTTTTTTTTGCTTTATTACATTGGGTGGACATATTGAATACAATGTTGTACAATGTTGAGTACAAGTGGTGAGAACAAACACTGTCTCCTTTCCTGTTTTACAGTGAAAGCATTGAATCTTTCATCATTAAATTTCATGTTATTACTAGGTTTTATGGTAAATTCAATTCATCAGGTTCAGGGTGATTTCTTGTTCCCAGTTTGTTCAAAGGTTTTTATCAATGGATTTTGATTTTTGTCAAATGCCTTTTTTGCCACTATTGAAATGATCATACAACTTTTTTCTTTAATTTTGTTAGCATGGTGAATTATATTAATTATTCTAATGTTGAATCAAACTTGCATTTCTGCAATAAGATCACCACTTCTTAAAATATATTATTCTTTTAAGGTATTGATAGATTTGATTTTCTAATCTTTTGTTAAAGATTTTTATATCTATATTCATGAGAAATACTGGTTTTTAGATTTATTTTCTAGTGAGTGTTTGGCATAAAGCTAATCCTGGCCTTTTGAGACAAATTGGACAGTGTTCCCTTCTTAATTTTTTTTAAAAGATTTATTTATTTATACAAGAACTGGGGTACAAGCCAGATGTCCAGGAGGGTGAGAGGAGTCACCAGAGACAGAGCAGGGAACAGAACAGACAGACTGACAAAATACACTGCTGAGGGGAGCAGCGGGCAAGACAGGAAGGTCTGCTGCGCATGTGGGATTCTTGCCTCCCCAGCCGGGATGGAACCCGCACTATAGAGGCTGCGGACAACTTCATAGTGCAGCACTCACCTGCCTGTGCCACCAGGGAGGCCCCCTTCTTTATTTTTTAGAAGATTTTATGTAGAACTGATATTTTTTGTCCTTAAGTATTTGATTGAATACACCAAGTAAAACCAAATTGACCTAGAGTTTTCTGTGTGGGAAGGTTTTTAATTATGAATTCAATTTAATTAACATACTTAAGATTCAGTTGCTTCATTTCTTTTTGAGTCAGTTTTGGTAATTGTTATCTTTCAAAAGATTTTGTATTTCATCTGATTTTTCAATTAACTTCTCTTTTAGGATTTTTTGTTTTAGTTCTTTTAACTTAAAATTAAATTTTGACTATATCTATGATTGATAGTAGATCAGAAAATCAAGAGATTTTTTTATAGTCTTTATGGTTGCACAAATCAATCCAAAATCTTTGAGTATAATTTGGTAACGGTAAAAAGCAGCAGCTTTAATATATTAACAACTTGACCTAGAAGTTCCAATGCTAGGGACTTATTTCAGAAATATAAATGTGTATGGACTTATAATTCTCTAAGAATATTCATAGCATCATTTTTCTAATTTAAGAAGGGAAGGAAATGATAACAGAGGACTAGCTAAAAAAGAACAGAATGGCCATACAATGGAATACTATGCAAAAAACAAAAAAGTATGAAACAGAGCATTATGTGTTGATGTAGAAAGGTATCTATTAGGTATTGTTAAATGGGAAAGGAAAGATTTTATACCATTTTATTTTAAAGAATATGCAGATAGATGCTTAGTTAATTTCTTTAAGATTATATGGCAATTTGGTTGGACTTGAAAAATCTGAAAACTGGAAGGAAGATTATTCCCAATTTATACCCTTCTGTACCAGCTGACATTCTTAGATTTAACTGGTATAGTTGAAATGAAATCCAGAATTTGGATAAATTCTCACTTGTTCTGTCTCACTCCAGCACCAAGCAGATTTCCAATTTCCATTTGTTAGTTGTTCCAGGTTACAAATATAACTTCCTACGTTAGGCTGTCCTTATGCTCTTCCCACTTTGAAGTGCCCAGATGGTAATCAGGCATGTGCCATGGAAATAAATGGCTGGAGGAGTCTTGCTTGAATGCATCCAGATACACATATCACCAAAAGATTGGAATCCCAGTGCAACCCCAGAGAGTGGAGTTGGATGTAGGATGGAACGCTTCACAGTGTTCTGGAGGCTCCACAGAATCAGGAGCTGGAGTCTGTGTGTAATGAATGAGGAGTCATCATCATTCATAGGGGATTTGGTGAGAGGTTAAAGTTTTGACTGAAACCAACATGCTGGTCATTGAGACCAACATGATGGACTTTTTTGGATATTGGTACATGCTTTAGAGAGGGTTTCTTCACCCATTCTTTGAGCTGCATTGAGCTGGGTTGGAGGAGACAACACTTTGTGCAGAGCATGGTAATTAAAGGCATCTCTCTGGTCATCAGATTGGCAATCATTCCTCGTCCTAATCTCCCTCTGTCTCAATAGCAGGACCATGTGGAGTAAAGCTGCCTTTCATTTTAACACTAGGTTTCACAGAAACAAGGACTAAATGATGAGCAGTCGATCTAGGGCCACTGAATTCTGCCTTCTAGGCTTCCCTGGGTTCTCAGAACTACACCAGTCTTTTTTCTACATTCTACTCAGTGATATTGATGGGAAGCAAATCGCCATCTTGATTGTCAGTGTTGATAAATGTCTGCAGACCCCCATGTATTTCTTCCTTGGTCCCCTCTCTTCCTTGGAGATCCTGATCACATCCATGATGTGAGCAGGGGGTTGCTGCTCCCTTGGATGCAGACAACCTCTCTGACTGCGTGTGTTGCTCAGCTCTTCCTGGACCTGGCTGTGGGGACCACAGAGTTTGCATTATTGGGTGCCATGATTGTGGACCATTACATAGCTGTCTGTAACCCCTTGAGGGACAACATCATCATGAGCAGCTGCACCTGCATCTGGGTGGTGGTTGTGTTTTGAGTGTTTGGCTTTCTGTTTCAATTCTGGCCAGACCATGACACGTTTCAGCTGACCTTCTGCAGAACAAATGTGTTAGACCATTTCTACTGTGACCAAGGACAGTTGCTGACACTCTCCTGTGATGACTCTTTTCACAGAATTCATTCTCTTCTTAATGGCTGTTTCCATCATCCTGGGTTCTCTGGCACCAACTATTGTCTCCTCTACCTGCATCATCTCCACCATTCTCAACATACCCACTGCCTCTGGGTGGGGAAAAGCCTTCTCCACCTGTGCATCCCACTTCACCTTCGTGGTGATTGGCTATGGCACCTACCTGTTCCTCTACATGAAGCCAGGCAAGTGTAGGCAGCTGGGCACAATAAGATAGCGAGCCTGTTGATTTCCATGTTAACTCCTTTCCTATGCCCTCTCGTCTTCACACTCTGGAATGACAAAGTCAAAGAGACCCCCTCAAAATGGTTTGAAATGCTGCTGCCAGCTCCTCAGAGATTAACTCTACTCTCAGTCAGTCTTAGGTGGTAGGTTCCTCTTTGTGAATTATTCAGTAACCTAGAAACCCCTCACTCCTCTCTCACCATTATTGTCAGGACACAGATCATAGTGTGCACAGCTCTGATCAGGCCACGGAAATAGCAGCGTAAGTGGAAGTGAAACCCACCCTGTGCCCACCGGAATCTCTTGGCTTCTGCTTGCTTCTGCTGTTGAACTCAGGCAAGCGTATCTCTGCAGAGTGGGAAAAGTAGAGGGAGGAAAGACATCCACTCTTGCAAGGGTTTTCCTAGCCCTGTTAATGTGCTTATGATCCATCTCTGACAAAGTCTGCTGGGGTGAGGTACATCATCTGGGTGGTGGTTGCATAGTCAGAGTACAAAGGGAGAGAAGCGCTTTTTGTTTCTTCACCAGTGGCTGCCAGGTCTTTTCCTGTATTTTTGTGCAATTTCTTGACAAGAAAGCTAAATGATTTTTACAGAGCTGATAGTGCTTTTTCTCTGGTTGTAAGTTATCCTGGCCCCACTGCTACTGCAAGGTAAATGTTGCATTCTATTCATTTGGCCACATCTAGAGAGATCCATTCTGGGTTTCTCATGTGGCAAATCTTGATGATATAAAGAAGATGAAAATGTTTGGAAATAAGAGAGGGAAATCATTCCTTTTGCTAAACTTCAGGGTATTGCTTTAACCTCTCCCTTGTGGCATGGATGGGGATAGAGAATAATAAAATGAAATGAGTAATTCTAGAGAGAGTGTCCTGTGTTTTATAGCTACTTAAAGCAACTCTTCCTGCTCAGACAGCTCCCAGACCAGTCTGCAGCCTTCAGAATGCCTTTGGATTCGTTGTCTTTCAAACCCACTTCCTCAGCACCTTTCCCAAGATCTTCTCTGTGGGCAGAGTTTGGAAAATGAGAGACTGCCCTCTCAATTCTCAGTTCAATTCCAGAGCATGCTCTTTGGCAATATAACTGTAGGAATGTTGCATGACAGAAAGGGAAGGGCTTTGCAGGAAGGAGTTTTACTTAAAGGTTAACACTTGGCACATCCTGCTGACCCTGAAGTGGGTCTAGAAATTGAACTTTCCAGTGGTGGGCTGGCGAGGTGTTTCAGGTTCCAAATAGTATGCTGTGAGGACGCCTCCCTATCTGGGGAAGGAAGGCAAGACCACCAGGCAGGCTGAGTTGTTCACACTCCATAGCGCCACTGGTGAGGCAATGAGTGGGGCCAAATCCATAGCATGTTGTGGTAGCCAACCAACCATGCAGACAGTCAGGTTCAGCACTGTTCCTAGCCACACCCCCCAACCCACAATGCTAACTTAAAGGAAGAATGAGTAACCTATCATAATTCTTACCCCTTTTTCTTGCCTCTTTTACAGTCTCGATCTCCGACCTCTTAAGACATATTTTCTCACTGTGGTCATTTCATCGTGGGGCAGTGAAATGCTGCCTCCCCTGTCTTTTTCTTCTCAACTCCCTGCTTGTACTTCTCCAGCCCAAGACAGACCAGACCAACAGAGATTCATGCTTTGGCCCAGGTATTTGCAAATGCTTATTGTATACATTTCAGCTCCCCAGGGAATAAGTGCAATTATTAACCAATTTCAGTGGTACTCCCGGCCATGCTGAATGTGAAATCAGGTAGGACCATTGAATCCTTCCGAAGTCAGGTGCTAAAGGATTTCTGAAGGAAAATCATCACTGGAGCTGGCAATGCTACTTGCCAATGCTTCCGATGTGGATACATATTTGCACTGAATGTAGAGAGGATCCCCTGATCCCCAAGTTCATTGCACGAGGTATGTTCTGCTAGAAGAATTGATTTCCCTAATTCACTAATCCAGCAACGGTGTGTTTTCCTAATTTGCACAAAGACGGTATTGCCTAGGCGGTCCCTAGGCAGAAGACAGAGGAGTCCTCCTACCCTCGTACAATTTCTTCATTCTTCTTGCTTGCTGCCTGGCTTACCCTCTGTTCATCTGCTAACTTTTCAGTTTCTTCTTTCTCTCTCCCTTGATTCTTGAGATCTCTTGTTCCTCTTTTCTCTTCTTCTCCTCCCCCCATTTTGCCTCAAGTCTAGGAATGTTAATACATTCCTATTCCTCCTCTCCTCCTCCTCCTCCACCATTTCCCTCTCCTGCACCTCAAGTGAAGCAATGTTCCAAGCCATCTTTCTGCAGGCACGGATCATTGTGCGAATTTTCTCAAATAGATATGTCTCAGAAGAGACGAGGAAATTCCTCTATGCTGAGTCTAGGGTAGGAGAGTTCCAGGTCAAGCCACAATAACTTCTCATTGTACAAATATTGTCCTCTGTTCTTTACAAATGAGTGCAATATAATCAATACAGATATTTAAAAAGAGATACTAGCTATAGAACTTTATTTGCACTCCCTATGCATATGTGATTACCACATTGCAAAATAATTATGTATACTTGGAGGAATGTCAAATGGAATGTGTTGCAATTTTTGTACTTAATTAACATTCGCCTCTGTTAACATATACTTTGTATTTTTACTTATATGCTCACAGTAAAAACCAAAACAAAACAAGAGAGAATCCTACTTCAAACCAGGAAAGTTTTTAATAGTTTCTGCTGGAAATTTTTTTGTGAAAGTAAATTGCTTCCAGATACATATCTCTGGCTATACATTCACATTTGGGTTTTATTTCTTACAAGTGTTCCTCTATATCCATGCTTCATGATGTATACACATTAGTACAAATGATACAAATTAAACTATTAAATTTTTTATTTTTTATGAATGTTCTTTATTAAATCTATTACGCCTATATAGTTATAAACCCAGTAATATATTGTTATAATGATTATATAATTTCTAAAGAAGCTGGGAGAAGAGATGTGAGCAAGTGTGTCCTTGTAGTACTCGTAATAATAACTATATTTAGCCTTTTTGATGCTCTCCGCTTGTCCCTGAGAATCAAGTTGTTATTGGGCATCATTTCCTTTCTCCAAAATAGCTTTGCTTTTACCTACCTCCTCTGTGCTATTATGGGAAAATATATTACATATTTATGTGTTGTCCACTCGACAGTGCAGTTGGATACAGATCATTTTATGCAGTTGCTCTTTAAATCTGTTAATGGAAGGAAGGAGAAGACATATACATTTATGCCATCTTTTATCATAGAATTACCTTTATCAGGTAATTCTTTTTTATCAGGTCCTTTTTTTTTTTTTTTTTTTTGGTGTGTGTGTTCTAGTAACTATGTGGAACCATTAGCTTTTAATGAAAAGAAGTTCTTTTTTTTTTTCTTCTTTTGTTACCTATTTTTTTTTACTTTATTTTTGATAACAAAGCCTTTCACAACTATTCAGTACACTAACAATAAAAATACTGATGCAAGATGCCCCATTGTTGAAGGTGTGCATAACTAGACTCTTACTCCAATTGCCAAAATTAGCAAAACTTAGTGTTATAAAATTCAACTTCCCACAGTTACTGTTAGCAAAAAATAAATAAATAAAATAAAATAAATGGAAATTGGTGGTTATGGTTACAAAATTGACACTTTTATTTCAAGGTTAAAACTTGGTGAACCACCTCACAAAAGAAGTTCTTTTAATGTTTCTTGTGAGTAAAATCTGCTAGCAAAAAATTCTGCTTTAGTTTATCTGAAAAATATCTTTCTTTTTCATTCATTTTTGAAAAATGCTTTTGTTGGATATAAGATGCTTGATTGACCATTTTTCCCCCTTGAATGCATCCTACTGCCTTCTGGTCCTAACTGTTTGGGTGAGAAGTCAGATCTTGATATTATTGGGGTCCCTTTTACATGAGAGGTCTTTTTCTCTTGCTGCTTTGAAGATGCTTTTGTATTTATTTAATTTATTATTATGTGTTTGTGTGTGGATCTCCTTGCATTTATCCCACTTGGAACTCACTGATCTTCTTAGATGCACAAATGCATGTCTTTCATCAAATTTGATTTCTTTGAATGTGTTTTTTGCTCCATTGTGTCTCTCCTTGCCTTCTATTAAGCCCATTACATGTGTGTTTGTGCCCTTATTAGAGGCCCAATATTTCTCTGATGCTCTGCTCACTTTTCTTCATTTTTTTTCTTTCCTTTCTTTGGATTGCATAATTCTTTTTGATCGATCGTCACATTTACTGATCCATTCTTCTGTCATTTGAAATTTACTACTCTGGCTGTCTATGGTATTTTTATTTTATTTATATTTTTGACTCTAGGATTGCCATTTGACATTTCACAATTTTGATCACTTTGTTGAGATTCTCTACATGGGAAACACTGTCATCACATCTTCCTTTACTTGGTTAAACATTGATTCCAATAGTTCTTTAAACCCATTTATATTATTCAACTACGAAACCTACAGAAGTCAAATGTAAAATCTTCCCTCAGTAAGCAATTTCTATTGTGTGCTTTTCCTCCTGTGTGTGGGCCTTCCTTTTCTATTTATTTGCATGACACTCTGGTATACACAGGGTGTACCCCACCTCTATTATTGTAGTTTGTTTGTTGATTGTTTAGTGTCTTGGTTGGACTATTTAGTGAAGTCCATCTCCCATCTCCCTGACACTGTGCACATGCTAGTGCTACCATCTACATGCACTTGAAGTGACCCTGGTTTTATTTTTATTTTTGTAAAGATTTATTTTATTTATACAAGAACTGGGGTACAGGCCAGATGTGTGGGAGGGTGAGAGGATTCACCAGAGACAGATCAGGGAACAGAGCAGGCATACTGACGAAATACACTGCTGAGGGGAGCAGTGGGCAAGACACCATGTGGGTTGCTTCAAGGCCAGCGGGGATTGAACCAGCACTGCAGAGGCTGCGGACAGCTTTACAGAGCTGCGCTCAACCACCTGCGTCACCTGGGAGGCCCAGACACTGGTTTAAACAAGAGTCTCTTTGACTGTCCCTGATCCTGATCACACCCAGCTGTTAGGGTCCATTGAGTGATGGCTAATTGTATTTTTTGTTTGTGACTATGCCCTGTGACATGAAT